CATAAAACAGTAAACTCCTGAACAATCCACTTTGTCTACCCTTTCATGGCGCTTTGGTAGACTTGTGAAAAGTGTTGATTTCTCTTTCATGACGAGCACGATATTCCATTTATTCAATAATGGCCATAGTTTCTGAGTTAGTTGGCAGGACGGTGGGCATATCCACTTTTGTGAATCCTTCATCGTCCTCACTGTCCTTTCATAGTCCCCGTTCTGCCAGTGTGTTTCTTTGTACCACTTCGCCATGGTAGCCATTGCAGAGGAGACTGCGACCATAACAGAGGCCACAACAGCTTGGTCTTCATCCTTTCGTATTCCTCGTCTTATCGCTGGATGCTCCTCCAGAGTTTCTACCAGAGCTTGAATGGCTCCTTGAACAGGACTGTTTGTGTGCATAGACACATCAAAACCTATTGGCCTATCTTCTTCTGAACATATTTGCTGACTGAATCTAGCCCAAAATTTACATTTCTCCCCACTTGCATGCACACAAAATGTGAGAGTTCTGCCATTGGATTTTCACCCTTCGTATGTTTTTATGTATCACTTCGATTGGGTAGCCATTTCGAGGAAGATCATAGTCGATTTGTCCAGCTCCTCGTCCCAAAAATCTACATCCGTCAGGCGTAGGCCTCGGGTGATCATGCTCCTCATTAGTCCAAGCTTCAACCTGTAGTTATGATGGGATCGGAAATTGAGCTTTATCCCATCATTTGACTTATTTATAAAACAATTTCTTTTTAAGCGTCCAATTAGAGCGAATCATTTCAACGTCCAGGAACGGTAACCGCTTATCTTCCTCTACTTCCATCGTAAATTAAACTTGAGAAACTCTTCCAGTTTTTCTCTTGCATGTGACCAAATTGCGAAGTAATCATCCAAGTACCGCATGAGCACTATCGGTTGTAGAGGTGCCAACTTGAAGTTCTCTTTTATTTTGTTCATGTGTACGTTTGCCAAAAGTGGTGAGAGCGGTGATCCCATGGGAAGTTCAACTATTTGTTTATATTCGTTCCCGTTGTATGTAAAATAAGGTGGTCTTTATTGTCAAGTTGATTAGTCTGTGTGGCGGAGTGTTGGTGTGCTTTGACTTTATCTGGCGATGCTGGACTGTGGGAAGCGTCGACCAACATCAGTTTAAGCCAAAACTTCGTATGCAGGCTCTTCTGGTACTTTCGATAGGGCCACTTTTCGCATAAACCCCCACTGGCCGGGCGGACATTGCGATGGAGGCGAAGTGCTGGCGGCCAAATCGGACACAGGCCAGAAATAACCGTCTGGCAATGTGAAGTGTGAACTGTGAAATGTGAAATGCGAAATGTGAAATTTGAAATGTGAAATGTGAAATGTGATCTGTGAAATGTGAAATGTGAAATGTGAAATGTGAAATGTGAACTGTGAAATGTGAAATGTGAAATGTGAAATGTGAAATGTGAAATGTGAAATGTGAAATGTGAAA